CCACAAGTTCCACAACAACATCAACAAACAAACTACGGGCTGCGCACCCGTGCCCTCACGGTAAGTCAGTAAGTCTGTACTGGCAATGGATTCTGGTAGGCCTCCTTGTCAGTCCTTCTTTGGAGTAAATCTGCTTGTAGCGCCCGCACATTTTTCTTGGGAGGCCATCATGTTGTCCGCTAAGTACACATTGCCTCCCCCGTCCCTTCATTTCCTCAATTGTGGCAACACCAGGTAGTCCAGATTGACCATGGGTTCCCACTCCTCCTCTCGACTGGTACCTTTTCTCTAATCTCTTCCAGCACCATTATGCTGCTCACTTTCTTTTTATTACACCGGACCCTGCCTCCAACGTCACCACCTTCTGCCTTCAAGTCCTTTGGAGAGAGAGAGAGAGAGAGATGTGTCCCCTTTCACTGAAGCCTTGTTGCGAACGCAAATGCGGGAACCCACTATACCGCAGCCTTAGGCCTATTTTCCTCTGTTTCTTGTTGAACTTTTTCACCAGTCTTTGTGATTAGGAAAAATCGCGAACGTCGGTGCAGTCAACTTTTTTCCAACAAGTTGCCGACTGCCTGTGGCCAAGCCTAGCCTATGAGCCACCGTCAGATTGTCAAGTTTGAGCAGCCTTAAAAAGCTCTGTTGTTCTGAGACTTTGGGCCCTTCTGGGGTCTCGTATCATGAGGGAATATTGGTCCTTCGCGTTTCAAAGGTACTGGTAGGGCAAACAAAGAGTTGTCGGTCCGCCGCAAAAATGCGAAGGACAGGTCACGGCACAACTTGCAACCTGGTTATACCCTATGAAACCGCGCGCTGATTGAGCGCGTGGGCGGCGCTCAAGAACAGTTTTTGAGCGCCGCTCAAAACCGTGCTCGAGCGCGTTCGCAGGCGGACCGTTTCACGGTGTGTGGAGGCTTGGGAGGGGGGGTGTGGGGTCCCAGGTGGTGGGGGGCGGTTGGGGGGGGAGTTGTGGCCAGCTGCCGACGTGTGGTTCACCTCCCTCAGATAATAACAGGGGGAAAAAAAAACAGGAAATAAAGTTTCACACAGCATGCTATTAAGCACTGCGCGGATGAGCGCGCACTCAGTCGCGTTTGTGCATGCTCGGCCGCTGAAGCGCATGCACGTGTAGACTCTGTAGACACTCCACAGAGATAGACACTCCACAGAGAGAGAGAGAGAGAGAGAGAGAGAGAGAGAGAGAGAGAGAGAGAGAGAGA